CTGAAGCTATTGTTTGGGTTTCATTTCCATGTTTACCAGCAAATCTTCTCACTTTGGACCAGACTTCCTTAATGTTGGAATCTCGATTTACAGATGAGCAATAAGCAATGAATTTTATAATTTTTTAGGAGGTTTCAGGAATTTTTCATCAACTTTTAATTATTACGTCTGCATGCCACCAGAGCTGCAAGCTCTCAGAAAACTTAAATCTTTTTTTTTGATTTAAATCATTTTAATGACTTAAGTAATTTGATTTTAAGTCATTTCTTGAAAGCTGACTTAAGACTTAAAATTTAAGTCATATTCAAAATGATTTGTGACTTAAGTGTTTTTTTCCGAAAAAGAAAAAACTTAAGTCAGTATTTAAAAAACTTAAATCAGTATATAAGATTTAAGTCATCTAGAAACGATTTAAGTCAAAAAATAGATTTAAGTCTTTATAAAAGGCTACAGTCTATAAGTTATATAAGTAATTTATAAAATATTAAGGTGTTTTCAAAAAAGATTTAAATCAGATTTTTCATATATTTTATCAAATTTAAACAAAAATTGATATTTTATTTTGGAAAAGGAACATAAATTCAATTCTCGTTTTCTTGACTTAAGTCGATTTTTTTAATTTCAGTCAGCTTATCATGATTTAAATCAAAAATACTTATAGACCTAAGTCATTAAAATGACTTACTGAAGGATTTAAGTCATAAAATGACTTAAACCACATTATACTGACGTAAGTCATTACGGAAATGACTTGACTTGAGAGAAAATACTTCAAGTCAAAGACTTAAGACTTAAATAATTTGAACTTTATGTTAGAATTGACTTAAGATTTAAATCATTTTGATTTTAGAAATGACTTATGATTTAAGTCTTTTTAAAACTGACTTGCTGCAGCTCTGCATGCCACTAAAATAAACACACTATAAATGAATTTTATTTTTTTAATTTTTTTTGAAGAAACGTCTTGTTTTTGCTATCATATGTTTCATTTTTATGAATTTTTCAATGGATGGGTTGTCTCTATAGTCTTTAATGGCTGTTTTTCTTTTATTGAGTTGCTCAGTGCATTCGTGGACCCACCAGGGATTGCTATTTGTGTTTTTTGTTGATTTTGGTATATGTTGGTCAGCGCCCAGCGGCCCTCTGAATAATGTCGGACATCGTTTCCCATGTCGTGGCAACTTCCAGGAGGTCACTTCGAAGTTCAATATTATTGGAGTATTCGGTCCAATTTGCTTTCTGAAATATTCTTTTTGGCATGTTAGTGATTGTGAAGTCTAGTCGATTTTGTATCTGTTTTGCAGTTTAACTTTTTCCAGGATGTTCGAGAAGCCATTTCAAGATGAGTAAAAGTGATGTCTATAGGACTGAAGTTTCCATTTGTTGGTTGGATTCTTGTACTTGAGCCATCATTTAGGATGATCAAGTCAAATTCGTTTAGAATTTCGGACAGCTGCCTTCCATTGACATTTGTGAAGTTGCTACCCCATTCCTGGTGATGGGCATTTAGGTCACCCATAAATATGATGTTACCGACCAGTTGAGAGAGTATGGTGTGTAGGTGATTCTTCAACTCCAGAGCTTGGTGAGGGGCATAAGCAGTGATAATGTTGAGATTTTTTATTTTTATAATTTCGTATTGGATGTTGTTGCTTTGAGTGATATTGATCTTTGGTTCTGAGTATATTATGTTGCTTTTGAGGTAGACAGCCACTCCTCCATATCCATCATGTCTGTCATTCATTTCTTAACACACAGTAATCTTGTAAGTGGAAATGAAGCTCTGGTTTGAGCCAGGTTTCATTAAGGAGGACGACATCTGGATTGTATTCTCTGAGAAAGTTGATTAGGTTCGCCCTGGCCCTGTTCGGTATTACACTGTGGGTGTTCCACTGCAAGATGACTAGTTTTTGATTGAATTCTTCAAAATTTGGACGATGAGGAGTCAGAGTCTTCCATAGTGTTAGACTCTGTCATAATTGTTTGAATTAGAATCTTTTTGAAATTGAAAAAGCATTTCTTTATACATATATTCGAGGAGAAAAAGTTTGGTGTATAGATGATCGTTGTCATTAGCTTCAAGAATATTAACTGCACTGGGTGGCTGGTGATGATTGGATTTTCCTGTTGATGATGATGGTTTATTTTGGATATTAGTTTGGTTTTGTGTGAAATTTTCTTCTGATTCAGAGTAATAGGGGTATATAGGTGTTTTTTAAGTATTTCTTTCTGGTCTTGAGTTAGGAAAGAGGAGGTGGTAATTGTGTTTTCTATGGTCGTAGCCTGTTTTTATATCTGTTCGTCTTTTTGGTGGGTTTTCTAAAGCTTGTTTATATGATCGTTTGTTACTAGTAGATTGTTGAGAGATGGCGCGTCTCTGTGAGATAGAAGTTGATTGAGTTTCTTTAAATTTTTTTGTTGGGATGTTTGGAAAATCATTTGGAGTGTAGGTATATTGTGGTGCTTCTTCATTGGAAAAAAATGTTTTTGGGCACATCTTTTGCACATCATAATATGAAATGTTATCGTATACCATTAGATTTTTAATGCCTTTCTGCCGCACAAACTCTGGACTCTGGACAATTCTTTGATGTGCTTATGTGGTCCAGGCTTTTACAATGGTAGCATTTTTTAGTGCAGTATATTTTTGATTCTCCATTTTCATCTATATAGTTTTCATGCGTAGTTTCCCCACAATCGAAGCATTTTTTTTCTCTTTGCATTTGTTTTTTGCGTGACCAAAAAGTAAACATGAGTAAACATTAGGTATTATAACTGGGGGTATGTAAGGAACTACAGGCCTGGGTAAGTCATAAAAGGTGATCTCTCGTGGCATGGTCGTTCTATCGAATACAAGAATTACTGAATTTGTTGCCATGTAGACATACTTTTTGTTATCAGGGTCTCTGGAATTGTAATCTTTGTTTATGGGGTTCTTCTGTTTAGTCTAATTATATCAATGATTTTGATTTGGGATTTAAATCCCCTTTTTAGGGAATTAAGGTTTAAAGTCAACCCCCATTTTCTGAACCTTGTGTTCAAAAATTCCAAAAAAAATATATGTTTTATGGTTATTGATATACTTTAATCCATAATTTTTTTAAGCAAATTTGACTCGCCATTTTTGAGTTATATCGCAAAAACTGAAAAAAAAAGTGGTTTTTCACCATTTATTTCAAAACGAATAGATGAAGTTTCCCGTTATTTTTATTACGAACTACTATTGCAATTCTACGCGACATATATTTTTTTCAAATTTTTTGAACTTGTTGTTTTCTCGCTACTGCAAGAATAGTTGGAAATACGCCTGTATAGCTACACTGTTTAAACAAAAATCCGACGGATGAACGTTCAAAATTATTTGTGTTGGTCCAAACTACAACCCTGTTTATGTAAAACAGAATAATACTTCGAATTTCCGCAAAAAAAAGAAAAAACTTTCCATCACACAATTTAATCAAATGCAGATTTCTATTTTTTTTTTGACTATCAAGTTAGGGCACACTATAGGGGCGACAGTACTGACATCTCGCGTTGCTGTAATAAACTATATGCCTGACTTTAAACCTTAATATCAATGTCTGAGTCTATTTGTCGTACAGCACCCTTGCAGGAGGTGTAATTGAAAGGGACCTTTAGTTGTATGCCTTTACTTATTAGTCTTTGATCATTTAAAAATTTGTTCGCAGCATTGAAATCTGAAAATTCTATATCTCCGAGGACGTCCAAATATAGGGCTTCTTTTTGATGGCGTACTCGTACTGCCAACCTCTACAGTGACTCTATTACTACAGTGGCGACAATTACTGTCTTATTTTTGATTGGTTCTAAAATCCCATATATTTATATTGAAAACGCCGCCATCTTGTTCCCAACCTCTTGTTACTTTCAAATATGAATAGATGGGATTTAGGTGAACCTCCATCATAAATCATGGAGAACAACGTATTTGATTGTCCTAATAATGGTCATCAAATACGTCGATTTCAATTTTTTATGATATAGGCCAAGAGCCGGCAATACTAACGGGTATGTGATCTTTGCAATGGATAATTTCTACATAAAACAATAGTTCATAGTAACCTTTAAACCAAATGGATGGGTTGCCTCGATTCTCATGGCCGTAAAGTTGTTTTATAAAAAGATACTTCAAGAACCATAAGCGCAACAAATAAGAAGTACCTTGCGGTGTAGGGGGTTCTCATCATAAGGCAAACACTTTATTAACACAATTTCATGTTTCTTTTTTTTGTCTAAAGACCTACAGCCGTATGCAAAATTCTCTTCACAGAGTCCTGTTTTAACTATAAATGTGACTTTGAAGGCTGTCACTTTCAAAAATTTGTTTGCCATCATTTCCGGCCATCAAAATCTAGGCCAGCCTATGTATTATTTGGGAAGACATATTAAAGAATATATCTACCAATTTTCAGCTATTGAAACGTTAACATTGTTCCTTCGGAAAAAGAGGGGTAGTTTACGCCCAGCCATCAAAGGGTTGCGGCCAAGAGAATGGAGGCGACCCATCCATATAGTTTAAAGGTAACTATGAGCTTTTCTTTTATGTGTAAATTATCCATTGCAACGATCACATACCCGTTAATATTGCCGGCTCTCCTACTAAAAGATGTCCATTTAAATCCTATATATTATTATTTAAAAGTAACAAGAGGTTGGGAACAAAAGTGCGGCGAGACCTCTATTGTCGCCACTGTATGTTAAGGTTTATTTAGCCACTGTACCAACCTCTGGAACTGCCTGCCTCTTACATCATTTCCTGAACTAAGAGACCTTAACGTGTTCAAATTCAGGGTTAATCGTCACTTAATTTCTTCCGCTCATGGTACCGTCCTCTTAGGAAGTATATAGACTTTGTCTCTTGTGAGCAGACCAATATAAAAAAAAGTTCAAATGGCATCAAAAACCTTAGTTGAAACGTAAAACTTGGTCAAACAAGGAAATAAACATTTATATTTTTCACTAAAAAATGTATTTTTCAGGGCATGGCGAAACTATTGCCAAATACTGCTTAGCCCATGCCATTCTAAAAGACATGGAATATGGTAATAGATCTGCTAATGACGCCACCAATACCATTTTATCAGGAATGACTCGTAGGCTGAACAATACCGCAGGTTAGTCAATTATTAGGCTTTGTATGGCAACTATGATTATTAAAACCAGGCATTAATATTACAATGAATAATTCTTTTCAGGAGCTATAACTTTGTCAAAAACAGGAGCCATTGGTATAGGTTTCACAAGCCGCAGGATGTCATGGGCCTACAGAAAAGAAAACGAAGTTCATTATGGAGTAAACAAAGGACAACATGAAATAGAAATGATTCAATAAACACCAATTTAAAAATTTTACGGATATTATATTACTAATAAATAATATCACAACTAAAAAAATAATCTAATACTTAAGATTTCTGAAACAATAATAAAAACTATTTACCTTAAAATTTACCAACATAAAAAAATAAATAATGGTTGTTTCAGTATAATTTTCCGTTGAAACACCGATATAGTTTAATAATGCATAAGTAATTGAATACTCAATTGTTTGCCTAGTAAGATTTAGCCAAAAAAAAATCTTAGGAGATCATTAGGTAGGTACCTAAATTTGTTATACATACTTACAATGAGACAGTGGGAAGTTTGGAATTTTCATTTTCCAGTGAAATAAGTAAAAATTATCAATATATCAGGTGTAATTCCACAAAGTTTCAGAAATTTACCTGAAGTAACAAAAAATTATAGACTGCGTGCCCACTTCCTGTTGTCACCCAGTATAGTTGCAGCTAATTTGGAAAAAATACCATGAAAACATGAGTTATGATATGTAGCATAAGGATTGGGTGCAAAAGCCCAATATAATGTTTTTGACGTTTGGCCATTTTTATTACTATCAAAGCTATTTCAAAAATGATTCTGGATAATTTCATACAGCAAATTGTAATGGAGCTTATGTGTTTTATGAAGGGGTCAAATACCAGGTTTGATTGGAAACGAAGCTTTAGTTATACATATTTACAAGAATTTCTGCTCACCTATATTGAAACAAACATGTTAATATAAATTTTTATAACAAAAAAAAAAAATTGCATCATTCCCAAAATCTCAATAAACCAAACCCTAAACTTCTTCCAGAGAATTTGTTATAGGTGCAGTTTCTCCATAACAGTGTTTAGCTTTGGGGTCTTTGTAAGAGTTTTCGTGCTGAACACTTTGAGAATTTGTCCTACATTTTGCAAGGCAAAGTTCGAAATGATCAGAAACAGAAGCATAAAGGACATTGTTTTGATCAGTTGCCTTTTTTAGAATGGTTTCTAAAACATCTTTCTAGAAAAAAAAACAAATATTCGAGGAGGCTTCAAAGTACATAAATTGGTACTTACTTTATCTGGGTGTAAACAACAAGATATACAGTACTCGTAAATTGCACAGCAATGATTTATATTGCATGTTTCGCAAGCGTATTGAAATACGTTTTGAGTTTCGCTATTGCAGCAACCGTTGCTTAAGATTTCGCTCCTCGGACAAACATAGCCTCTATCGTCCACTATGAGTACTTTTCCCTGCACGGAATTCCTGCAAGTATCCTCAACATCGTTTGTCACATTGTGTTGCTGTAAAGTCCTCCAGATAAACGGTTGCGTTCTTTTAATATGAATAACTTCGTCGTTGTCTAGAAATTCTGACTGAAAAGATTTCACCATAATAATTATAATTGAATAATTCAATTCAATTTCAATTTATGTCAATAAACATTGAGTACAAAAAAAATATAAATAGAAAATCAAAACCCAGTATAGAAGTTTCACATAATAAACGTATAAAAGCTGGATCCAAGCTTAACTTCAATGGACCGGAGCCAGTACTGGGAATAGCCTCAAATACGGCCAACCACACAATCTCGACCTGGGCCAATTCAGAGGCCAAACAATAAAAGTTTCTAAGTAATTTTTGCCTTTGGCAAAGCCAGACCTCAACTTTTCCCACACACCTTCCCAGGATTTACAAGAAAAGACAATAATAGTATCAGTATCCTGTATCATCAGCATAGGCTATGATCTTGCTATCCACGTCAAGATCGCAACGTGCATTCATGTATGCACATTAAAAATAGAATGGGGCCCAGTCGACCGAGGCACCGAGGGAGTGTTTCACTCACTAAATTTTGTACATCTACTGCATTGATTGCATCAAGGATGATAGTTGATTGCATTCACTTTACCTCCCGCATGTGAATGTCAATGAATGTTTGAAAAAGTAGGGGATTGTCGAGGGGATTGTAGAGAGTGTTCCTAAGAGCAAAGTTTACTAAAAGTATAACTTAATGTATTGAATATCAGACGAATGTTGGAATTCATACTTCTTTATCTCAGACTGCAGGCAAATGTACAGGGTAGTTGATTTTCGATAGTTTTATAGGATGGGGTACAGCTAAAATGACTGAAGATACTAAGAAACTGATGTCAGGGCCGCCGCTACAATGTGTGCGGTGTGTTCAAAACACACAGGCGGCCGATTGAAAGGGGCGCCCGATTGAAAAGGGTTGCCGCCACCAATCTTGATGCAGAAAGAATCATGTGCAGCGCCCTACATATTGTAGAAGTGAAACTTCCTAAAAACTATCCCCCCCTCATACAACTTTTAGACAGCGTCTAAGTCGGAGTAAAGACGGAAAAAAAACACAAAAGAAAGTGACGCATCTATAGTGACGTCACAAGGGTATCGGCGCTTGACAATAATAGGCAATCCTCCTTACTTATAATTCTTGGTTTGTGTCAATCGTTCGTCGGCTGTCATTATCATTAGCTGTTTTTCTCCCTCTCTACGTTATATCTTTTTTCCTATCGTGTAACAACATTTCCCAAAACGTGACGCGTCTTTCAAATCACTGTCCATTCTCGTCCAATTATTATCAGATGGCCGCCTAAGAAGTTTTCACTTCAAAATAAATCATACCCATCGAGTAAAATATACCAAAGAATTTTCAGGCGCTCTGCAGTCATGATTTTGTTAAAAAATTGGCTACAAACAAAATTTTCAAAAATTTCCGGAAATATTTCATGCACAGCATTTTAAAGAGAATTTCATGCCCTTTGGAAAGATGTATCACAACATACCCCTTTCCATTTGAAAAGATAAAGGCAGAAGCCACCCCACAGGGATGAAATTAAAAGTGAAAACAAAAATTAGGTCCGAGGGTTTTTTTTTAAATTTTTACCTACAAAGCTGTAAACCTTGCTGAACTGTTTTCGACCCTGTATATTTTGTCTTAGATTTTTGAATATCACTATTGCTACGAAATCGTTAACGCCAGAAAAACGGCGTCCGCCAGGCTGTCAAGAATCTATGGCGGAAATACTAGAATCTAGCGAATTATTCTACTTTAATCTGGAAAATTAGATTATCGTGTGTATTCTAGATTTCACAGGAATAGATTTAGGGATATATAAGAAGGCCGGCATTGGTTTGTAAGTTAGTTTCAGTTCGACTGTGATACGATTTAAATAGTGAATGTAAAGAGTTTAATTGTTGAGTTAGTAAAGTAATTAGTGTCAGAGTGTTTTGTTAAGTGGAATAAATTATTGCTGTGTTAATTGGACTTTGATTTTGGAATAAACGAAACGAACGACGAACCCAAGATTTCTGTCCGGCGATCCAAAGCCGCGACACTATTGTCAGAAAAAGTCGGAAAAATTCTTATCTTCAGACTCGCCTTTTGCTGAATAGGACGTATCCCCGGACGTATCCTAGGAGGCATCATTTTCACAGGAAGTTTCAGGCAATTTCTCTTTTGTTTTTTTTGCTAGTTTTTCAAGAATTTTTAAAAGTCAAATAACCAAACAAAAACCAGAAAATATCATGTTATAAGCAATATCTAATAAAATTGCAGACTCGACTTGCTACGGCTGCTGATAATTTTTCATGAGTGTGTATGGACTGGACTGTCATGTACTCTACTGCATGTGACTGCACAGAATTTATAATGATTGCAAGTGACTGTATCGGGGACAGTATTATGACCACGAGTCCATGTATTCCATCGACTGCATGAGAATGTATGAACTGGATATACATGAATCTCGACACATGAATGTATGATATTTGTAGACCTACTGCATGAGTGAAACACCTCTTGGGCCCAGTACAGTTGCAATCCTAGTGTGTTGAGGGCGATCATGGAGATAACTACTATCAAAAACGTTCCACACAGCACGGCACCCCTACTCCATGTTTATTCAACACCTCCAGTCGGGGGGCGGTCAACTTCCTCAAAATGTGTACACCGATTTAAAATCACTGTTGATTTTAACTGATTTAACAGATTTGATCGGATTTAAGAGATTTTTATTCAAACCTTAACTGATTTAAGGTGATTTAAGGTAATTTAAAGATTTATTGGATCACTTAAAAAGATTTGAGCTGATCTAGGAAGATTTAACCTGATTTAGGAAGATTTAACCTGATTTAGGAAGATTTAACCTGATTTAAGAAGATTTAAATTGATTAAAGATTTTTTTAAGATTTGAACCTCGATTTGAACTGATATAACCTGGGATAATTCAAGGTAATTAATTTAATCCCGAGAAGATGAAAATGTATCTAATAACCAGATATTTTAGTGCTAATGGGTACTTTCGCTCTCATAACAGTCCAATTTAAATTTTCAACTAATAAAAAAAAATTTAAAAGTGATAAAGTTTGTGAGGCTTTTGCATCCCAGGTTTATTGATAAGGTGTTTTCATTCGGGCTTAATAGCCATTGTAAGTTGGAATTTCTTCATTTTCCTTAGGAAGAAATTCCAACTTACGACAGCCATTCAGCCCGAATGAGAACTCATTATCAGTTCTAAAAGTGCCACCAAAGTCAACTAGTCTTGGTACACAATGCAATTAAATAATTAAAACTTGAATTTGAATTCACAAAAAATTTGAAGATTCAGGGTTGGCATAGAATTTCCCCAGGTTATTAAACCCAGTGGAGTTTTACGGGTTTTTTCAATTGATAAAACCTACCATTATTGGGTTTTTTGGGTTTCTTCAAAAATAGCAAATTTTCAGTTGAATGAAAGTCATTTTCGCAGGAAATATCAGAGCTTCCCTGATGATTCTCCAGTCCCCGGCTGTTTGCTGTTGGCATTTGGTGTGGAGGTCTGGGCAGGGACTCAGTGCCATGTAGAATTTAAAATTCAACATATCGAATGTGCCGAGCAATGAACTATAACCAAAAACTGGAATGCTTACAAATAAGGACGAACGTGAAGCCTAGTGCGGCTGCTGCGGAGGGGATACCTGTTTTTGTCGCACTCATTATGTTAAATGGCGAAAATTGCTTCCAACACGTATTCCAATTGATGAAACCTGTGAAGGAAAATATGACAAAACTTTCGAAAACGTCATATGTCAGCGAGCAACAGAAAAAGACAACATTCCCCGTTGTGGCATCTGTCTTTCATGGCTTCATTTTTTTGGCAGATATGGCACTGTGTGCGCATTCCAGTTTTTAGCTCTAGTTCATTGGTGCCGAGTCTATAGAATCCTGTCGATATGTAGAATTCTACATGACACGGAGTCTCTGGGCTGGCTAGCTAGAGGTGTGGTGCAGTGCACTGATGCCAAGTGTAATTATCTATTACCGATTTAACAGAGTTAACCGCCCCCCGCCTCCAGTACTTTAGAGTAAGATACCATGTATTCTGTTTACCGTGTTAAATGCCTTTGCCAAATCTAAGAATAAGGCTATACATCTGTCATTTCTATTTAAATTATCAGTGACCTCATCCTCATCAACAAATTCATTAATCACATTAGATGTACTCAATGAATTCAAACTGGTTCTTGAGAGAATGCCATTTTTATTTAGGAATTCCCGAGGGAAATCCAAAAGTCTGGATTTAAGACATTTTTCAAATATCTTAGCAAAATTGGGAATAACGCTGATGGAGGGAGATTTTCCTAGGTACAGATAGACAAACTCGAGGACAAACTGAATTGCAATGACACTTACCTTGCCAACAAAACTAAAAATACAATAACACAAAGACAGGAATAGGACGAGGCCTAAAATAATTCGGCGTCTCAGAAATCGTATAACAGCGGCGTACCACATATTTTTTGTTGCCAGTGAAACATTTTTTAAAAAGAAAATGGGATATTCAAGAAAATGTTAATATGTATGTCAACATTTTCCCATTTTCCTTTTATTTGTTATTATTTTTGAGGTTATGTTATGGATGGCATGGGCTGATTTGACATTTGACTTTTGCAACCAGCTGCTCATGGCGATTTCGATTTGGCTACAGTAGTTGGGTTCGGAATGGGACTTCAGTGCAGTGCTAGTGCTATGTTCGTGTAGTGCAGAGCCGTGGCAGTGTTATATCACGTAAAGCCTGGTACTCTTAACTGCGAAATTCGCAATTTTTTGACATCGCTTCGACAATTTGACGTTTAATTCACGCATAAAACGTCAATAAACCTATCTATTTTTACCTGGTATGCGCGCGCAACACGAGGCAATGTTTTTTTATTGGCTAGCTAATACGGGTGTGAGGTGTTCGTTTTGCACGCTGGGCACCTCTTTATCCTTGTTCATTGCACGTGGTCTGACAAGAATAAATCTAAAGCTGATATTCAACTTGACAACTGTCATTCAGAAGTTGTTTGACATTTTCATTGACAAATACGTTGCACAAGACGCGGTTTTTCTCCTTTCTTTTTTATTCTGTGCAAATAAGAAGGACGGATTGCTATACGTAAGTCTAACATAATTTGGTACGTTTTGCCTCGTCTTGCGCAATGAGCGTTCTGTGTCTTTTTTTATTTAATGAAGTTTTCGTATTATTAGAGAGTTATTGGAACTAATAAATACTGCCTCGCAGTATTAAGGATCTACGTTATTTTATTAGTGCATCTACACTATTTTTCCAAGAGAAAAACAGTTATTGGGAGACTGTAGTAGGTGCTAGAGTATTACCTTATTTTGTATTCATAATTTTGACAGCTGATAGCTATCTTTATAAATTTCAACCTCAAAAAGTGTTTATTTTTGTTTGTGATTTTCTGCTGATAGCCATTTTTCGATGCTACCCACAATAAAATGGAAAACTACTGTAAAATAGTTATTTTCCTAACAAGTGCGCAAAGTGTTACTTTTCCGCACGCAAACACAGTTATACGAACGACGCGAAGCGGAGTTCGGATAAGTATTTGCGTGCGGAAAAGACACTTTGCGCACGTGTTAGGAACAACATTTTTCCTACGAGCTTCATATCAGGTAGGTAACAACAAAAATTTTAAAAAAAAACGATAATTTGTGCAATTATTTTCAATTAACTTGGAGCGAACCTATTCATTCATCAAAAAAATACATAACAGAAAAACAGAAAATTGAAATCCTCGTCAGAGCTGTTCATCTTAAAGCGTTTAAATTTGATGCAAAAGAAGTTTGTAGATTCTTGCATGTAAATGGGAACACAAATCTGACAATGTGTCAAAGTTAATTATATTCAGTGTTTGTATAGATGTTGGCTGATATAGAAACAGAGAACAAATTTGTCATCATGTGTCAAAGTCGACAGGTGCACTAATTATTGCTTGACAATTATTTTTACTTTTCGGCACTCAGTGCGGATAAGGCCCGTATCCGCACTGAGTGCGGAAAAGTGAAACTTTGAGAACTGTAATGCGTGCGGAAAAATACTACTTTGCGCACGCTCGTAGGAAAAATAAATTTTCTTATTAAAATTACGTCATCGTCGAAAAGCGAAACGTCAAAGTCGTCCAAAATGTCACAAATTTAAAATAAGGGAAGTTTACTGCCTCGCACTAACCATACACAAATAAAGACAAGCAGTAACCTTATTAAGGGAATCCTTAATTTCGGTGCCAAATGCGCATGCGTAGATGTCAAAATAAGGCTAATTTAAATACTGCTTGTCATTATTGCACGTCCAATAACTCTCTATTGCCTCTTTGTCTGGTAAAATGGATAGGTCTATTTGTCGAAGCAATGTCAAAAAATTGCGAATTTCGCAGTTATGAGTACTAGGCATAACGAAGGTGTAATCAGCGGTGTAACACCGATTACACCATAATTTTGTACCGAGTAAACGGTGTCCTACCATCTTTACACCATTCGGACACTAATAGTCCAGGAGGTGGCGCCAAAAACATGCAAGAGTTTTCGCAAGGCGGATATTTTCAAAATAGGTCGTACTTTAGTGCTAGAATGCTAGTGTACAGTCAGCACTCACAGTTCCGGGACAGCTGGCTCTGGGACGCGGGCAAAGTTGTAATTTTAAGAAGCATCTAAACTGTTTTCTCAAAGCTCAAAATTTATAGAAATTTTGCACATTATCTGTTTGAAGGTCACTAGATAACGTATGTAAATCGTCAGACGTCTAGTTCGTTGCAAAAAGGGGGTCAGACGTCCTCAAAGTTTTTATTTTATGGCATTTTCTTCAAATATATTTGTCAAATACCTGCAAAAATATATTTTGACAGGACACCGAAGAAAATGCCATAAAATAAAAACTTTGAGGACGTCTGACCCCCTTTTTGCAACGAACTAGACGTCTGACGATTTACATAGGTACGTTATCTGTGACCTTCAAACAGATAATGTGCAAAATTTCTATAAATTTTGAGCTTTGAGAAAACAGTTTAGATGCTTCCTAAAATTACAACTTTGCCCGCGTCCCAGAGCCAGCTGTCCCGGAACTGTGAGTGCTGACTGTACACTAGCATTCTAACACTAAAGTACGACCTATTTTGAAAATATCCGCCTTGCGAAAACTCTTGCAGGTTTTTGACGCCAGCTCCCCAACTATAATGCTTGAAGCCTAATTCAAATGTTATTTGGGCGAGGTGAGATTAGATAATATTCCCTTTGAACAAAAAACATCTAATAAATTCTTGGGATTACCTATACATAGATACACGACTAAAGTTCGACACACATATTGAACAACTAAATAAAAAATTAGCACAGAGCTGTTACATAATCAGATCTCTAGCTCAGGATCTGGAAAAGCAGGCTGCTAGAGCGGCGTACTTCTCTCTTATGGAGTCAAATATGCGATATGGAAATTCTTTTTGGGGATATTCCACCCAGAAATCGGTCCACTCAGTCTTTGTTCTCCAGAAGCGGGCAGTGCGCTGTCTCTGTAAGAAAAGTTGTAGAGAATCGTGTAGACAACTTTTTGTGTAGGAGGAAATACTAACAGTACCATCGTTATTCATATTAGAATCAGTGTGCCTAATCTTTAGAAAATATTCTGGGACCACTCAAGAAAGAAATTATAACCTTAGACACAATAATCTTCCGCTTCCAATCCCAAAGTCTTCCTTAACGAAAAGTTCGGTGATTTATGAAAGCATTAAATTATACAATCATTTACCAGGAGAGTTAAAAAATATTCAAAATTATAGAATGTTTCGAAATTCGGTGAAAAGCCTTTTAGTGCCTAGAGCCCTCTACAGTATCGCTGATTATTACCTGGATTTTAAATTTAAATCTAAACCTATGAATGTTATCATTGTTGTTATTTGCATTTTCTATTTTATGTTTTATGTTTAATATTTCGTATTTTATATTTTTATGTTTTATAGGTAATTTATATTAGGTATTTTATGTTTCATACTTTGTATTCTATGGTTGTTGGGTTATGTTTTTTATACATTACATATTAATGGTTACATGTCCGCACCATCCATAGTGATAAGATTTTTTCCTACGAGCGTGCGCAAAGTAGTACTTTTCCGCACGCATTTCCGGGCTCAAAGATACACTTTTCCGCACTCAGTGCGGATACGGGCCTTATCCGCACTGAGTGCCGAAAAGTAATTATAATTGTCAAGCAACAATAAGTGCACCTGTCGACTTTGACGCATGATGACAAATTTTTCCTCTTGTTTCTATATCAGCAGCCAACATCTATACAAACACCAAATATAAATTAACTTTGACACATTGTCAGATTTGTTCTCTATTTATATGCAAAAATCTACAAACTTTTTCATCAAATTTAAACGCTTTAAGATGAACAGCTCTGACGAGGATTTTCTGTTATTTTTTTTTGTTATGTAATTTTTTGATAAATGCATAGGTTCCCTTCAAGTTAATTAAAAATAACAACAAATTATCGTTTTTTTTTTTAAATTTTTGTTATTACCTACCTGATATGAAGCTCCTAGGAAAAATTTTGTTCCTAACACGTGCGCAAAGTGTCTTTTCCGCACGCAAACACGTATCCGAACTCCGCTCCGCGTCGTTCGTATAACTGTGTTTGCGTGCGGAAAAGTAACACTTTGCGCACTTGTTAGGAAAATAACTATTTCCTACAGCCGTGCGGAAAAATCGATTTTCCGCACTGATATGCGTGCGGAAAATGAGTTTTCCCGCACGGTGCGGTAAAACTTTTTTTTTTGACATATCAGTGCGGAAAAAGTTTTTCCGCACGGCTGTCAGTGCGGAAAAAATTTCACCGCACTGATATGTCAAAAAAAAAAAGAAAAATTTTACATTTTTTCGCCTGTAGGAAAAATATTGTACCTAACACTTGCGGAAAATATTTTTCCGCACTCGGCTGCATCACCGAACTCCGCTACGCGTCGTTCGGTGAACGGCAGCCGCGTGCGGAAAAATTCATTTTCCGCACTTGTTAGGTAAATAGCTATTGTGAATTTAGTTTATTTTTGTCATTTCATTTTTTTTTTTTATTCTTTAATAATATTACGACATGTAGTGTAATTTAGAATTAGGAAATTGCTTTGTCAGTGAAATAACGTATTTCTGGACAATAAAGCTTATTTTGATTTGCGTCGTTCGGTGAACGGCAGCCGCGTGCGGAAAAATTCATTTTCCGCACTTGTTAGGTAAATAATAGCTATTGTGAATTTAGTTTATTTTTGTCATTTCATTTTTGTTTTTTATTCTTTAATAATATTACGACATGTAGTGTAATTTAGAATTAGGAAATTGCTTTGTCAGTGAAATAACGTATTTCTGGACAATAAAGCTTATTTTGATTTGATTTAATTTGATTTAATTCTCACTTGCGCGAAATTCGCTCTTTTTTGAAATTGCTTCGACAGTTTAACGTTTGATACACGCATAAAACATCAAATTGTCGAAGCAATGTCAAAAAAGAGCGAATTTCGCGCAAGTGAGAATGAGGCATAATTCTCACTTGCGCGAAATTCGCTATT